CAAAACTCTCAACTATTGGGACACTTTTCAGTCAGTCCAGATTTAGGATCAGGACAGAGATTGCATTGGTATTCCTTTGGATGACTTAGATGGGGGTAATGCATCCCCCCTGGTCCTGTTAGATCTTTCAGTGGCTTTCAACACCTTTGACCACAGTATCTTACTGGACCACCTTCACTTTGGGTTGAGGATTGAAGGCACCATTTTGCAGTGATTCTATTCCTTCTTTAGTAGGTGATTTCAGTTTGTGGAAGTAGGGGATAATAAGTCATCCTGGTGTCCTCCACATTGTGGATGTTGCAGGGGGTGCCCTCTCTCCCCTGCTCTTTGAAAACTATCTGAAGCCACTGGGAGAGATCAGGTGACAGTTTCAGGTATGGTATCGTTAGTTTGCTGATGATACCCAATTATACATCACCACCTTGGGCAATAATCTGGGGGAGATGGGCAGCATAAAAATGTAATGATAAATAAGGGGAATGCAGTCAACATGCTAGCCTCGTGCATGGAGGTTATAAGGGTTTGTATGGAAACAAACTGACTGAAGCTGAACCTGTTAATATGGAGGTGGTCTGTACATCTCTGGATGGACAAGCACTAGAGCAGGTTCACAATTTGAAAGTCCTTCTGGACTCAGCTCCTGCTGAAACAGCACGTAGAGGCCATGGCTAGAGGATTCTTTGCCCAGCCTTTGCTGATGCATCAGTTTTGATCTTATCAGGTAAGGAGGGCTTAGCTACAGTAACTCACACCCTCATTACCACCCAGTTGGACTACTACAACACACTTAACATGGGGATACTCTTGAAAACTACTTGGAAACCGCAATTGGTCCAGAACGCAGCAGCCCATGTACAAATTGGTTCTCAGTGTTGGAAGCTTATAACACCAATTATGCAGGCCCTGCATTCATTGATGATTGGTTTCCAGGTATAATTTAAAGTTTTGGTATTGACCTATAAAGCCCTTCATGGCTTGGTGCCAGATACTTCCAGAACCATCTGCTCCAACCAGAATTGACCCAACCCTCTAGTAGATCATTCCTATTGATAAAGGGGGCTGAAGCTAGAAGATCCTGCTCTTCCATGTCAGTGCTGATACTTTGGAATAGCCTCCTGATGGAGATCAGGATGGCCCCCTCCTTGCTGATCTTGAGGAAGAATTATTTCAGAGAGCATTCTCCTAGTTTGGCATCAGATAAGCAGAACAGGGAAGATGGTCTATCAAGAGACAAGGTGTGAGCACCACTAGAGCATTGGAAAGTCTATTTTATGACCATTGGGGAAACTGTTTCATTCTTCCCCAAAGAGCCAATTCAAAGTATCCCTAGAGATAGAAGAATGTTCTAGGCCTGATGCTTCCCTTGAGGAATAAGAAACACTGTTCTGGATTTTTTTAAGCGTCTCATTATGTCAAATTCCTTTACAGAACCTGAGAAGATGTCAAAGAATATCGTGGTCCTTATTATCTATATTATTGCCTTCCTCGCTGGTCTGCCTTGCAACCTTCTGGCCTGCTATTCATTCCTGAGGAAAGTGCGCCAGAAGCCAGTCCCCATAGATATCCTCTTGCTCAATTTGACCTTTTCTGACCTTTTCCTTCTGATTTTTTTGCCCTTCAAGATGGCAGAAGTTGCCCTAAATTTCAAATGGCCTCTTTCTCCCAACTTTTGCCCAGTGACAAACTTCTTCTTCTACAGCAGCATCTATCTCAGCACCCTGTTCCTCATGGGAGTCAGCATAGAGCGTTATCTGTGTATTGCCCACCCTGTTAAGCACAAGTTGAACCGCAGACCAACCTATGCAAAAATAGCCAGCCTCTTCTTCTGGTTTCTGGCTTGTGCGCATTGTGGCAGCATTGTCTTCGTTGTTCACTACTTCCATGGATCTCAGTGGAGTTCTGAGAACAACGTCACTTGCTACAAGAAGTTCTCCCCTCAACAGCTTAGCATTGTCCTCCCTTTCCGCCTGGAGCTCTTCATTGTCCTTTTCTTTATCCCTTTCATTGTCACTGTTTTCTGCTATGTCAACGTGATCCGCATCTTGACCAACATGCCAAATATTAAGCCCCAGAAGAGGCAACGGGCTGTGGGCTTAGCTATAGCCACTATGCTCAATTTCACCATTGCCTTTGCTCCCTACAATATCTCCCACATTGTGGGGTTTGTGAAGAAAGAAAGCCCTACCTGGAGAACAGAGACATTCTGCCTGACTTCCCTCAATACTGTGTTGGACCCTGTTATTTTCTTCTTCTCTTCCTCCACCATCAGGAGGACATTTACAGAATTTTGGATTGGCATCTGCAACAAACTCCGGAATCTTACATCACGCTGCTGTCCATGTTGCTGCAAGTCTTGTAGGGACAATGCCAAAGAAGGAAGAGCTGGTGAGTTATCTGTTGGAAACCTCCCCAGTATACTGGCAGGATCTAGTACACCTTCACCTTTTCTAACCCTTGAACCATCTGGAACATTAGATGGGTGATCATTCAGCAAAAGTCTCATTATATAGAGCAGTAACTTCTGACTCCAAAGAACACCTAAGCTAAAAGTTTTCACAACTTTCCAATCCATCTAAACAAATGTGAAATTTGAAACAATGCCTGCAGAAATTTCATTTTGAGTGAGAAATAATGATCAAATAATGTTTGGAAAACTTGGCTGCTCCTGACTTGCTTCTGGCAACTTTGAGTTATTTTGATTGTCATCAAAGATCAGATGACATCTGCCTACACTTCTCAAACTTTCAAGACTTTCAGAGAATTCCATGTTGGTCTTTTTACCAAAGACTCCAGACTTAAGGTAAAGGATTTGAGACTATGATGCAGGTAAACAATAATTCATATGGATCACCAGCTGGGCCACTGTGACAGATCTTTGCCCCCATAAATTGAATGGGTACAGTGGAACATGCCAATAACACAATAATTATGTTCTCATAGCAGCTTTCACGATGACCCTTCCCCTTCAAAATCTTCACTAGCTGTTTTTTTTCAGAAGGAGGTGGTACTGTTCAAAGAACAAGACCAGTCTAGATCATTCTTTTCTTTGAGCACTTCACTGCTGCATTTGCGCTCCACTGACAGTCACAAAGCTTGTGACGAACCAGTATCTCTTAAAAGTATTTGCCCAACATGATACCTTCTTTTGAAGGAATCCTGAGTAAGCTCCTCTGAAAATCAAGGTTTCTTAGCTGTAATTATATTTCTTTTCAGCTATTTAGTTCTTTGGCCTGAGATGCAGCTATCCCCACTCGTAAATCTTAGAGCAAGACAGGGAGACAATGGACAGTGGTACCATTCTGCCAGCTGAGAACAACTTCTGCAGGAGGTCACATCTGCCTAGAAGGTCCACCAGCATATATCTACTTTTG